ATGGACGAGTGGAACGGATTACTCAATACTCGTTCCTATTACATCACTCTCTCTCTCTTTCTCTTTCTCTAATAGGTAATTTTAATTAAATTTATAAAAATAAATTAATGAACACATGTTTTTAAAAATTATAAATAAAATGAAAACAACAGTAATTTATGTTAACTATTATTTTGATTGACAATATCTAACATGCCTAATAATTTATATTATCAACTTGTTTTTGTCCTAGCTTTATTATGTAAGTTTCAATTCAATGTATTCAAGATAAATTATATTGACATTTATGGTGTTTACCATAACTAGTTAATAAATTTTAATTAATAAAATTAATTATGGCAATTTAATTAAGACATAAATCATGCAAACGATACAATCAGTGAGAAATTAATCAACGAAGCGGTGGAATTGAATAGTGGCAAAAAATACCCGGAAACTGACCAGGATGTGAAAGCATATTGCCAAGATATCGGCCAGCTCACTGATGCCAAAAGTAAAAAGTATTACAAAAATACATAAATATAAATACATAAATAAACTAATTAAGTTAGTTTTGAATTAATAATTAAAATATTTCTACCATATCCAATTAACAGGACAAAAATTCTGACATACGGTATAACCTATTTTGGTAAATTGAAATTGTTAACCCGACACATCGCTATGAGCATATCAAAACCAGATTTCTACGAAAGGACCAAGGTGGTTTTCTGCAAAATGGCCGAACCAGTTAAATTAGGCCTCGCTATGAATGCCAAACTGGCCGAGGCCAGTCAATTAAAATTGGTGGCCCTAGCACACATGTTGGATCAGACTGATGTGCCCGGTGTATTATGGTAACAAATATATTTTAATGTTATACAGGGTAATTAATTTTGATTATTTGATTAGCGCACTTAAACTTTACGCAAATAATGTGCACAAATTATATGAAGATCAAAACAATACCAGGGATTTTGTACGCGAATACAATACCATATATTTCACAAATATAGCAACGGCCGGACTTCTTGGGTTTACAGCAACTGATACATGTAATTACAATGAGAATAGTGCCAACAAACAAAATGTCAACTTAGAGCAATCGTATTATTTTACTATGCTTAGGGCGCTTGATAAATATTTGTAATTTTATGTTGTTTATTTTTAAGTTATTTTTGTTTTAAGTTTTAATACAAATTACTTATTATTATAATGATAAACATAATATTATTATTGTAATATTCAAGTTATTTATTTTATAAAAGTAATTAGATAATTATTGTGTAATGTTATTTTTACATAAATTAAATCTCCTGACTATACAATCAAAATTTTGTTTTAAAAATATTTATTAATAAATATGTTTTTAAAATAAAAGTATATGTAATATTGAAATTTTCACGTAAACATTAATGGGCAGCAAGATTACTAAATATATTTTATATATGATAACAGGGCAACTAGATAAATTTATTTGCGAGTATTAACAAAGTAGTGAATTATTCAAAAGTGACATTGAAAATAAAATATAGACTTTAGATGCGATTAATTATTTGTTAAATAAACTCTTTAAAAGTTTGTTTTTGTCTAAAAATTATAACAAATAATACATTTAAACATTTAATCTAATTTTATTTTGCAATATATGATATAATGCAATCATTATATCAAAATTCATGATATATTCTGGTAATGAAATCACAATTATTTATTATTAAAAATTAATCCGCATAATTGATTTTGTAAACTTGTTAAAATATATAATATTATTCTAATTAACATTTATATTTAATAAATTTATGGATTTAATAAGGTAATTTATCTATTTAAATTATGATAATGATAGTTTAATTGGTATTAAGTGAGTGAGTGAGTGAATGAGAGAGAGAGAGAGAGAGAGAGAGAGATAGAAAGAGAGAGAGAGAGA